GGTGGAGAGGCAGAGAAATGGGAAAAGGAGAGATGAAGAGTGTAGGGGAGAGGGGACCCTGATGCAGAGAGCCTGGAGGTAGTGGGGAGGTGGCCAGGAAGATGGAGAAGGAATAGGGACAGGGAAGGAGGCAAATGGAGCGGTGAGGTGTGGACAGCACACTGGAGTGCAGGGGGATGGCATGAGGAGGAGAGGAGGGTAATGGGGGCAGGACAATGAGGAACAGGAGTGGCTGCTGTGTGTGCCCTGTGTGCAGGGCTCCTGTTCCCCCAAGGGGACTGCTGAGGGAGTGTGGGGGCAATGGAGCCCTGTTGTGGGGGGGGGGGGGGTTTTAAACCCCCCCCCCAGGGGGGGGGGCCCCCCCCCCCCCCTGTGGGGGGGGGGGGGGATGTTAGAACCGCCCCTCAGAGGCTGAGGCTACTGCCCACCTCTTTGAGGCAGGGGCATCACTGGAGTGGGTTAGTGGGAGGGAAGAGGGATGTCAATCCCTTTGAGGTGGGGTCTGAGTGCCTCCAAGTCACCATGCGTCCAGCCAGCTGCCACCTTGCTGAGGAAGGGGCTACCCAGAGATGCACCTAGGAGTGTGGGTGGGGTTAGGAAAGCAGGGTTGGGCAGGTGAAGGAGTGTCAGGGGAACACAGGGAAGGGAAAGAGGCTGGAGTGGGCACCAAACCATAGCCCCATCCCTCAGGCTTCAGCACAGGTGGGAGCAGAGTGAGGAAAATGCTTCAGGCAGGGGCCCCATGTGAGGCTGAAGTACCATCACCCTGTGGCCCAGATGGCTCTCTGGGGGCAAGGAAGCCATCCTGGACACGGGGAGGTTTGTGGTTTGCCCTCAGCCAAGGCAGGCAAATTGACTTTTCCCTTTGGGAGGAGATGAATACAGAGATCCCACCTCAGTGTGGCCCCTGGGACTCTTGCTTCTTTAAAGAAGATGACCTTTGAGTGGCCCATGGAGGCACTCCTCCCCCAAGTTGTGACTGGATGAGAGGGGTCTGGCACTAATAGGTTGTCTTTGCTGTGTGGTCTGGGGACTTTCAGAAGAGGCCAAAGCAGCCACAACATGGAGGTGGTTGAGAGCACTGGTTGGTCAAGTCCTTCTGGATCTCTAGGATGTGAAAACCTTCCTGTTTGGGAACCAGTACCCCCTCAGGAAAACACAGTTTTCCTGAGGGGTTGAGGACCATGGGTAGGATTGATTCTTTTCAGGCCTGAACTAGCCAAGCTGAGAACTTTTAGACAAGGCTGTAGGGAAATTCCTTGGCCTTCTTGAGATTCCTGCTTGGGCACAGGGAAGTCAGCCTTCTCCAGCTTCCAGTGTGATTGAGACAGGGGAACCCTCTCTTCGGAGAAGCTGGGACCTTCCCAGCACAAGAAACTTGCGCAGGTCCCTGCCTGGCTGAGGGCTAGCCTTCGGGTGGGCATGGAGTTTCCTGAGAAGGGAATGAGGGGGATAGTCCTTCCCAGAGCTCTGACCAGCAGATCTCAGGGGCCTGTGCTGTGTGTCATTAGGATAGCTTGGTGTTGTCTACACCCCATTAGTAAGTTCTGTCTGAATGTGTCCTCGCTGTTCATCGTCCAGTTTGGTAACATTTATTTCAGTCCTGACCCCTTCTGCTGCTGCTGGATTTGAGCTTCAGTGCAGGTGGAATGATGTTCAAATAAAGAAACACTTTATATCACCCATGCTGGTTTCTTCTTCTCTGAGTTGGCCCCCAGGGGATCAAGACGGGTGAGATTCTACCCTTTGTACCAGTTGGCTGCATATTAATGGAGCTACACTGTGGCTTAACAAGAGTTTATTTTCCTTTCACATTAAGTCTGGAGATAGCCAGACCATGACCAATATGGCCTGCAGCATTATCAGGAACCCAGGCTCCTTGCCTTTCTGTGCTGCCATTTTCAATCCTGGCTTCCAGTTTCAAGGACACCTCATGGCCCAATGTGGCTGCTGGAGCTCTAGTCATTTGGCCACATTTCATTTGACAGAGACTTCTAGAAATCCCATAGGATGGGATGTACCTAGCTGAAATGTAATCCTTTAATGGGCACATGCCATGCCAAATAAAACTGTGGTTCTGTTTCCAAGGAGAAAGGAGACATAGATGGAGCAGGCAGTTAGAAGTCTCTACACAGTGCTGGTTGACTGCATAGGTTTGATTTTGGACTTAGGACTCTGACGAGGGCAAACATGACTCCACCCTTTTCTGCCTGTGTGCCCTGGACGGGTCCCTTTGCCTCTTTCTAAATCCCCACTACATAAATGGAATTGATGACAGTGATCTCAGGGGATTGTAAGGAACAAATGAGGGAACGTGAGTTGCTTCACAGCATCTGGCACATTGTAACATGTCCCATGTGGCAGCTACATTTATTATAATTTGTGCCCTTGGAAACTGAGTCTTCAATACATTTTGGGCACTTAGTATAGTCTAAGCACTTAAAGAACAAAAAAGAGACCCTACGTTAAGTGTCAATCTGATTGGGGAGATGAACATGTAGAAATGATGTAAAATGTGGCAGGTGCAGGGTATTGTGGGTGCCCTGGGTAGGGACACCTTAAATGGCATTTGGTGGGGTGGGTAGAGCAGGAGACCGTTTCACAGGAGGATGAATAGGAGTTAGGCAGGCAAGGGTCAGGAAAGCCATTCATGAGAGAGAAGGCAGCTTGAGGAAAGAGCTGGGTAAGAAACAGAATGGTATGTGCAGAGCACTAAAAGCAGTTGGCAATGCTGAACTATAAAGTGCAAGCAGGGAGGGTCAGAGATTAGTCTGGAGACAGGTTCAGAGCAATGGGGAACCAGAGAGGATTTCAGCCAGAGAGGGGCATGATTAATTTTGCATTTCAGGAAGATCACTCTGGTTGCCCTGTTAGGGAGCCAAGTTAGAGGAAGACAATTTTAATGAAAGGGAAATCAGAAATCTTGCCTGGGTGCCTGGGTGGCTCAGTCAGTTAAGTGTCCAATTCTTGATTTCAGCTCAGGTCATGATCTCACAGTTTGTGGGACTGAGCCTGTGTTGGGCTCCACACTGACAGGATGGAGCTTGCTTGGGATTCTCTCTCTCTCTCTCTCTCTCTCTCTCTTTTCCTCTGCCCCTCTCCTGCTCATGTGTCCTCTCTAAGTAAAAAAAGAAAAGAAAAGAAAAAGAAAGAACAAGTCTGGCTTAAAACAAGGTGAACAAGGTGGTGGCAGTGAGTCTGCTGAGAGGTGAGAATTTTGCTATTTAGGAAGTAGAACAGACACTTGGTAGCTCATTGATTGACAGTGGGGTAAGAGAGTGGCACCAAGGATAATGGATACATTTTTTGCTTGGGGGACAAGAAAGAATTGTCAGTATAACACCAGAACAAGATGACCAATTCAGTTAGAGACTTGCTAAGCTTAATAAGCATGTGGGGAGTGCCTTGTTGGCTCAGTTGGTGGAGTGTGTGACTCTTGATCTCAGGGTTGTAAGTTTGAGACCCATGTTGGTTGTAGAGATTACTTAAATACATAGAAAAAGAAAATTAAAAAAAAAAAAAGCATGCAGGACATCACAGTGGAGTTGTCCAATAGTCAGTTGACTGGGATGGATTTGGGAGCTCAAGAGACAGATCTGGGCCAGAAGCATGAGCATACAGATAATGGTTGAAATGTAAAGCAGAGATGCCTTTGCTCAGGGCGACTGTGTTGTGTGAAGAGCACAGGGCTATGAAGTGAATGCTGGAAAACACCAACACATAAAGGTCAGAGGAATGGATGTCCAAGAGGAGAGAACAAAGGAAGAATCAGAGCTGTGAGGAAGATCATGAAAGTGTGTTATGGAAACCAAGGATTTCAAGTTCAAGGGAAAGGTCAACTGGAGCCAAGAAGTTCAGAATTAGGGACTGAAAAATGTGCCTACTGGATTTGGAAGCAAGGACACCATTGTTGAATTTCAGGATGTGGAATCGTTCTTTATATGAAACAGTTCTGAATGTTGCTAGATCATGGCCAGTAAGAGGTTTTTTTTTTTTTTTTTTTTTTTTTTTAAGTTTATTTGGAGAGAGAGGGGGGGAGAGAGAGAACAGGGGAGGGGCAAAGAGAGAGAATCCCACACAGGCTTCACACTGTCAGCATAGAGCCTGATGTGGGGATTGTACTCATGAACTATGAGATCATGACCTGAGCTGAAATCAAGAGCTGGTCACTTAAGACTAAGCCACCCACGTGCCCCATGGCCAGTAAGAGTTTAACGGTAAAGAGAGAATGACTGAGAAGAGGCAAGAAA